CCCTGCATCCAATAAGGGATGGAGATTCTCCTTGGCTCTCTTCTTGTCATTAATATATTTGTAAAAACTTTTTTTGTTGTCTTTAACGACAGCGGCCAGATTGTGTTCTAGCTGGGCTTTTGCCTTTCTCATTTCTTCTCTGCATGACCTAACGAGATCCCTGTACTCTTCTTGAGTCGCCTGCCCCTTCTTCCACAAGCGGTAAACTCTCCTTTTTTTCCTGAGTCCCAGCAAGAGCTCCCCGTTCAGCCAGGCCGGTCGTCTTCCCCGCCCATTCTTCTTACGGCGTACAGGGACAGCCTGCTCCTGCGCCTTTAAGACTTCCTTCTTGAAGATCGTCCAGCCTTCCTGGACCCCTTTGCCCTTCAGGACCGTCTCCCACGGGACTCTCTCAACCAGCGTCCTGAACAGGCCAAAGTCCGCCCTCCGGAAGTCCATGGTTGTGGTTTTGCTGCCCCCCCTCCTTACTTCACCAAGAAGCGAGAATTCTATCATTTCATTTGTAACAAAACAGATTAAGATACGTTTGTTTCATGGTATATCACAGCACTAATACTTCCTGCTTACTCTGGTGTGTGGGGTTTTTGGGGGTTTTTGAGCTAGAAATGGATTTGAAGTAGTGCACAATTGTTTTTATTATGGATAATTGTAAGGGTGGTAAATATACTATTAAATTTAAAAATTGGTAATATATAAACCTGATGGAAGAGGGAAAGCAATCTTTATTAGAAAACTGTTGAACCTGACCCCTATTTCTGTTACTTTTAACTTCTAAACTCCGGGACCACAAACTATGCCCAACCTCAGAGTTGCCTCTGAGTGACAGTGGACAGTAAAGCTAAAAAGGCAATCCAGTATTGCAGGCCAGCTATGAACCCTTCACCAAGGCTCTGGAAGATACCGTTTGGGAAGCAACAAGCCGGTTTTTCCATAGCCTTCTGGTAATGTTTGTCAGCTTGTAACTCCAAAGCATGTGTTTTGTGCCTGCTGCATTCTCAGCTCCTCTCTAAAAATGTTGAGACTTCACCTGTAAAATGCTCTTTCTTCTCAGCTTCATTTTACCATTGATATGATGCTTTAGTTATTAATCTTTTTATGTAGTTATTAATTTGAAACTAGCAATGAGCTAGCTGCCCCGTAGGAGAAGATCAGGTTTGAGATCAGAAGATCTCCTATAGGAAAAGATCAGGGTTGAGACCATCTAAGGAACCTGAAGGTGCACGAGTCCATGGGACCTGATGAGATGCATCCACAGGTTCTGAAGGAACTGGCAGATGAAGTTGGTAAGCCACTATCCATCATATTTGAGAAGTCGTGGCAGTCCAGTGAAGTTCCCACTGCCTGGAAAAGGGGAAACATAACCCCCATTTTTAAAAAGGGGAAGAAAGGAAGACCCGGGGAACTACAGGCCAGTCAGTCTCACCTCTGTGTCTGGGAAGATCATGGAACAGATCCTCCTGGAAGCTATGCTAAGGCACATGGAAAATAAGGAGGCGACTGGTGACAGCCAACATGGCTTCACTAAGGGCAAATCATGCTGGACAACTTTGGTGGCCTTCTATGACAGGGTTACAGCGTTGGTGGATAAGGGAAGAGCAACTGATGTCATCTACCTGGACTTGTGCAAAGCATTTGACGCTATCCCGCACGACATCCTTGTCTCTAAATTGGAGAGACATGGATTTGACAGATGGACCACTCAAAGAGTTGTAGTTACAGCTCGATGTCCAAGTGGAGACCAGTGATGAGTGGTATTCCTCAGGGGTTGGTACTGGGACCGGTGCTGTTTAACACCTTTGTCAGCAACATGGACAGTGGGATTAAGTGCACTTTCAGCAAGTTTGCAGATGACACCAAGCTGTGTGGTGTGGTCAACATGCTGGAGGGAAGGGATGCCATCCAGAGGGACCTTGACAGGCTTGAGTGGTGGGCCCATGTGAACATCATGAAGTTCAACAAAGCCAAGTGCAAGGTCCTGCACCTGGGTCGAGGCAATCCCAAGCACAAATGCAGGCTGGGCAGAGAATGGATTGAGAGCAGTCCTGTGGAGAAGAACTTGGAGCTGTTGGTTGATAAGAAGCTCAACATGACCCGGCAATGTGTGCTTGCAGCCCAGAAAGCCAACCGTATCCTGGGCTGCATCAAAAGAAGCACAACCAGCAGGTCGAGGGAGGTAATTCTGTCCCTCTACTCTGCTCTGGTGAGACCCTACCTGGAGTACTGTGTTCAGCTCCGGAGCCCCCAACATAAGGAGGACATGGACCTGTTGGAACAGGTCCAGAAGAGGGCCACAAAAATGATCAGAGGGATGGAACACCTCTCTTATGAAGACAGGCTGAGAAAGGTTGTTCAGGCTGGAGAGGAGAAGGCTCTGGGGAGACCTTGTGGCAGCCTTCCAGTGCCTGAAAGGGACCTACAAGAAAGCTGGAGAGGGACTTTTTACAAGGGCTTTTAGTGATAGGACAAGGGGTAATGGCTTTAAACTGAAAAAGGGTAGATTTAGGTGAGATATAAGGAAGAAATTCTTCACTATGAGGGTGGTGAGGCACTAGAACAGGTTGCCCAGAGAAGTTGTGGATGGAAGATGATCAGAGGGCTGGAGCACCTCTCCTATGAAGACAGGCTGAGAGAGTTGGGGTTGTTCAACCTCAAGAAGAGAAGGCTCCGGGGAGACCTTATAGCAGCCTTCCAGTACCTGAAGGGGGCCTACAGCAGGAGGGACTTTTTACAAAGGCATGTAGTGATAGGACAAGGGGTAATGGCTTTAAACTGAAAGAGGGTAGATTAGATTAGCTGCAACCCAAACCATTCTGTGATTCCATTATTCTATTTTATTTCCAATATATGTCAGTATTGTTCATACTGTTTTAATACTGTGTTTTCTGTAGCAGTGCAGTAATCCTTGTCGTCCCTAATAATTTTAAATACCTCATTTGATCAGAAACAAAAAGAACTTTGAATCAGACCAGTGTCAGGGTTGTGGCTGGAAATCCGACCAAGCATCCATCGCATCTACATCCAAAGCAGAAGGGGCCTAGTGTTTCAGGAACTTGCATATTTTGTAAAAACACATATTCATAGAATCACAGAATCATAGAATCATAGAATAGTTTGGGTTGGAAGGGACCTCTAAAGGCCATCTAGTCCAACCCCCCTGCCGTGGGCAGGGACATCTTCAACTACATCAGGTTGCTCAGAGCCCCGTCCAACCTGGCCTTGAATGTTTCCAGGGATGGGGCATCCACCACCTCTCTGGGC